TTCTTAAGTCTGCCACTAGCTAGCCATGTGACCTTGGGCAAAGGACCAAATTGCTCTACATTTGAGCTTTCCCATCTGAAAAATGAGGGTAATTGGGCCAGTGTTATGGGACATGGAGGAATAGCCTTCAGTGCATTAAATGTTTAATGCAGTGCATAGCTCCCAGGAAAGGGCCATTATTTGCGGTGACCACAGCAGTCTAGGTGCTCGCTGGTCTAGGCAGATAGAACGCTGGCCTCCTCTTCAGTTTGGCTGGAGCTGGGCCCCGTTCTTCAGTAGGGTCATAGGAGGGAGACAAAGAAGGTCACTTGAGGCTGGAGGGCACTCAGCTGAACCCTCACTCCCAGATGATTGGCAGCCAGGGCTTACCCGGCCTGGCCCCACGGACCATCTGCTGCGGAGTTCCAGGGAAGGGTTCTGTTGGGGTGAAGCGGGCCGGTGACCCGGTTCATTCATGGCACTGTTATGTGAGCGCCCAGGTAGGTTACTCTATCTGGTCCTCCCTCAGTCTCCTGGTCTCTGAAACCAGGATTGTTGGTGCTCAGAGCTCCTGCCCTGGGCCACTGTTCATTGAACGCATGATCTGACATGTGACCCCCAAGTTCTTGTCTTTCCGGCGTGAGTTAACTTTAGTTCTTCCTTTAAAATAGAATGGAAAACAACACAAGCCCTTGTTCTTTTTTTATTTTGAGACGGAGTTTCACTCTTGTTGTCCAGACTGGAGTGCAGTGGCGCAATCTTGGCTCACCGCAACCTCTGCCTCCTGGGTTCAAGCCAGTCTCCTGCCTCAGCCTCCTGAGTAGCTGGCATTATAGGCATGCGCCACCACGTCCAACTAATTTTGTATGTTTAGTAGAGGCGGGGTTTCTCCATGTTGGTCAGGCTGGGTGTGGACTCCTGACCTCAAGTGATCCTGCTCACCTTGGCCTTCCAAAGTGCTGGGATTATAGGCATGAGCCACCATGCCCAACCAAGCCCTTATTCTTAGAGCTGAGAGAAGGAGAACTGCACATAGTGGTGAGGAGCTGGCTTCCCCAGCCCACAGAGAGTCAGCCAGGGCTTTCCTGGGGTGGGGGACCTTGGGAAGAACAGCAAGCTGGGGAGGGTGTGGTCTGTGGGCCATATGCAGAGTGGTAAGTGGCCCTGTGTGTGGGGAAGCGGTGGTTGGAACAAAAGTGAGCAGGAGTGGGCCCCTGAGGGTGGAGATATGAACTGCTCTTGAGATCCAGGGTCTTTTTTGAGAACTTGTGCAGAGCAAAATTCCTTTTGTGAAACCAGTCACCTCTTCCCATTGTATCTATTTAGTCACCTAGGAGGACACTTAGAGCAGCACCTCAGCATGAATTCACAGGAACCTATTAATATAGATGGAGCTGAGGCTGGTTTTTTGTGGGTGGGGGAGACCTGGTCTCACTCTGTCACCATTCAGGCTGGAGTGCAGTGGCACAGTCTCAGCTTACTGCAGCCTCGACCTCCTGAGTTCAAGCATTCCTTCCACCTCGGCCTCCCTGATAGCTGATAGTACAGACATGGGACACCACACCCAGCTAATTTTTTAAAAGAACATTTTTTAAAAATAAGATGGGGTCTTGCTGTGTTGCCCACGCTGGTCTTGAACTCCTGGGCTCAAGCAATCCTTCTGCCTCAGCCACCCAAATTGCTGTGAGCCACTGTGCTCAGCCTGAGGCTGGTATTAATGTGGGAAATGATAGAAGTCAAAGTGAGAGAAGGGGTGAGCTGTGAGGTGCAGTGGGGAGGAGACAGGAGAGTTCCAGCAGTGGTTTTGTTGAGTGTTTTTAAGGTGGACTCTTCTCTCCTGTCTCATGTGGCACCAGGGGATGAGTGGACAGTTCAGAGAATGAGTTAGGCAGGGGCTGGAATGTCTGTTGGGAATGCTGGATGGGCTTGTTCTGCTCTGACCGGAGGCAAATGCCCCTATGTAGAGCTTGACCATGGACCTGGGCCAGGCTGGGCTTTTCTTGGCCCACATTTGCTCTGAATGCCTTTGGATCAAATTACACCTGGAAAGGTGCCTGAGGGTAGTAGCTAGAAGGACCCAGGCAAGCACTGTCCTGGTATTGGGCCCTGTGCCTACTCTGGGGCCAAGTCCTCCAAGTTATTGGGCTGCCACTCTGAACAAAACAGATAACGTCTCTGCCCTCGGGATGGCTTAGCTGGGGATCTGGGATGAGTGCTTCAAAGAAAATCAAGAGGAGGTCACGTGGGGGATGGGGAGCAGTTCCATGCAGAGTGGTAAAAGGAGGCCTTGAATGTAGTGAGGGAGGCGCCAGGAATGGATATGAAGGAAGAGCATTCCAGACTTGGGGAACAATGTCCAGGCTCTGAGGCAGGGGTGAGTTTGATGACTTCAAGAAACAGCAGAAATGCCAGGGTGGCCCAGGGAGTGGCGCTGGAACAGGGAGGGGGGAAGGAGATGTCATGGGAGATGTGCACTGAGCCTGGCTGCAGAGGCCTTGGGGGCCATGGCAGAGGGCATGCATTTCATTCTAGGTGTGCATGGGAAGCCACTGCAGAGTTTCCAGGAGGGGAGTTCCTGGTTCTGTATTTTCGAAGGATCAGTCTTGTTGCTTGGGGACCCATGCGGAGCCTTCTGTGGGATCCAGACGAGTGAGTTGGATCTTCTCCCCACTGCCCGGCATTTTGGTCTTGGCCCTCCCTGGGCCCCAGTGCTCTGCTTTTGTAAAGTGGAGCCGAGGCAGGTGGGAGTAGAGACTCTGGAGGAAAGCTGGTCGAATGCACTGTATATTTGGAGGCAGAACCAGCAGAGGGTCCTCTGGGGGAGTGTGGGGCAAAAGAGGAAGAAGACACCAAGCCTGGGGTCTGGGTTTTCTCTCTTACACTGGCTGGGTGGATGGTGGTGCCACTGAATGAGTTGGAGAAGAGTTGTGGGGAGCTGGATTGGGGTTGGGGGACCAAGGCTGCATAGTGGGGCATGGTGAGAGTGAAATATCATTAGCTGTCTTAGGAGGACAAGTGAAGTAGACGTTAGGGTGTTTGACTCGGGGCATGGCCACGACTGGAGATCTGGGTGTGCCAGTTGGCAGTGTACAGATGGTATTTAAACCTTGTGAATTACAAGATCTTCTAGAGGGCTCAGGGCAGGGTGAAGTGAGGCCCACCAGCATCTAGAGGGGTCTGAAGGAGGCGGAGGAGGAGCAGGGAGGAAGGCAGCCAGGGGCATATGCTTGGGGTCCCCGAAGCAGAGTGTGTCAGTGGAGTAGTTGGAGGAAGGAAGAATGACCAGCTGTTACCAGTGACCAGCCAGATACCATGAGAAAAAAGTCTTTGCCTCCAGCTTTGGCAAGGAGGAGGCAGGTCGCTGGGGACCTTGAATAAGGTGGGTGGGGCTGGAGCTCAGCATGCCAGTGTAAGACACCTGGAGAGAGAAAGGAAGCAGTCATGCATTCCATCGAGAGAACCCTTCCCAGCTGGTCAGTTTAAGGGGAGGACCAATAATCGGGAAATGGGTGTGGTGTGGTAGAAAAGATCAGGAATGAGCCCAGGGAGCTCTGCCCTGCATGGTGCTTTATCCAGTACTTGAGACACGGTATCTGACACTCGGGATGTACTCCATGAATATTTGTTGAACGAATGAGTGAGGAATGAATGAATGAACTGAGACTTGGGATTCAGCCCTTCTCCCCACTGCCCGGCATTTTGGTCTTGGCCCTCCCTGGGCCCCAGTGCTCTGCTTTTGTAAATGGAGTGATTGGTTCTTGGTAAGGCGTCTTCACTTACTGTTCACAGACCATTGTGGGAGCCAGCAGTGGGAAGCTATGAACCCTCTGAAATTTCATACAAAATACCGGGCATGTGTGCATTTTCTGAAGGTGATCTGTGATCCAGAAGAGGTTGGATCACAGATCACCTTCAGGTTGGGCGAGACTTCCTGGGGCTTTTCTTGAGCCTTTTCTTTCCATTCTAGTCCTGGGGCTAGTTATTGAGTAAAATAGGCAGAAGTGGCTCAAGGCTTGAGAACACACTGAAAAACTGATAGTCATAGAGAAGCGTGGTCCTGTTATTTATCGTGAGATGCTGATAAATGGCAGTGAAATGCCAGTGTGGTATAAAGTTTTCACAGAAAAACAGGAGGCAGCTTTATTAGCGGAGCCCACAATGTGTTTTGTTCTATATGGAAAAGTCCTCCCTGGTTCAGGAAACTGTGTGATGTATTTGGATGGGCCCCTTTCTGTTGTGGTGCACATGGGGTGTGGGTTCCTGCAGGTGGGAGGTTGGGGTTGGAGGTGCTTCTCTTCTGGGGTGAGCTCATTGCTTAGAGCAGGCCTGTTTTCATTCTCTAGCTAAAAACCCAGCCTATCCTGAGCACAGGTGCGCCCCCTGCTCAATATAGATACCTCGGAGAGGAGGCTCAGCCCTGGCCAGTGGATGGCCTGGGCCGCTGGGTGGCTGCTTATCTGTGCCTGGTGTCTACCTCCAGGGCTGGAGAGCTGGCACATGTGGCAGAGGTGGTGCTGGTCTCTGCTTCTCCCTGTCTTCACCCTGTGGTGGTACCCAGCCCTGTGCAGCCTCATCTTGCTTTGGAAACCTCTGAGGGGACCTGGGGCAGCCCTCACAAGGGGTGATGTCTTCTTATACACCAGATAGTGCACTGATATGAGTCAGGGTTGCAGAAAGGGGAAGAAACAGGGCACAGCCTGATGTCTGTGACCCATAGTCTCTCCAGGGTGGAGTCTGCTCTGAGATCTTTTCCTGTTCCCCTCCCCGGGTCATGGGGTCATCTGAGTTTGAAAGAGTTTGTCCAGACATTCAGGAAGGTGGGTTCAGGTTATCTGAAGAACCTCAATGCCCCTTTATTCTGCCATTGCCAGCCCCTGTCATCTGCAGGGCCCAAGGGGCCATGTGGGATGTGAGCTAGGAGCATGCTCTGCCCGACAGTGTGGACTTCGCTCTATGAAGCATGGTCACAGTGCTGGTTTCTGACCTAACTTCCTCTCTCTTTCTCCTCTGCCCCTGCTTAGTTGGCTGGAGTTGTCTTCCTCGGAGTTGGGCTGTGGGCATGGAGCGAAAAGGTAGGTATAACTGTCACAGGACGCTGAGCTTCAGGCAGCCAAAACCAGATTCATTGGACTTCATTTTCCCCTCCTCCAGTCTGTTTCCTGACAAGCGTTTCTCGTGCAGTGTCAAGGTGTGTAGTTGTTAATCTTTACAGATACAGCACCTGCCTACTCTGCCCCCATGATAAGGTCGGCTGCTGGAGGCAGGAGCTGGGCTGTTTCGGTTTTGATCTCTGTGGATGGAGAGAGCTCAGCTCTTGCCTGCAGCTGTGCCCAGGGCAGGCATGGGGCGACCCATGTCCCTGAACACAGACATGCTTATTGTTGAAGCTCTTATCCTCTTGGTTGAGAGAGAGCAGGGAGCAGGGCTGGATTATGTGCCCCCAGGATGCCCTGTGGGGCAGGGGTGGTTCTTTAAGCACCTCTGTACCTCCTTGCCCAGCCTCAGGAGGAGAGGGGAGGAGGGGAGACCTGGCTCCTACTGTCTGGAAGCACATGGGGCAGTTGCAGCTCCAGGAAGGGGATGAAACTGGAGTGGGCAGGGTGGGGCTGTGCTGCCACTTGTTGCCCTGTGGCACGGGTGCCGGGGAGGCGGTAAGGGCTGAAAAGAGCTAGGGAGGGAAGAGGGGAGGGAAGCAGTAAGGTACAGCAGGCCTGGCCAGAAAGAGTCAGAACTAAAGCTTCTTTTAGTGTCTTGGGTCCAGGACTTCTTCCTTCAGTGGAACTTACCTTTGCTTTCAGCAGGAAGAGGCAGGAGAGCCTGCAGGCTTTCCTGCCATGGTCTTAGGTGTGGAAAAGGCCCACCTTCAAGTTTGGGCACCTTCAAAGTGGCCTGTGAACCCCTAAAGGGCAAGTGCTGGAGTGCGATGTCCTTTTGCCCCAGTGACCCAGAAGCAGGTTCAATCTGTCTCACAGCGCCACCGTGTGGCTGCCCCTGGGACTGCAGCCACCTTACTGGGTGTGGCCCTAAGTGTGAAGCTGGCTACTACGATTCCTTTGAATCTGTCCGTCTAAAATAGTTTAAAAGGCCAGAACCTAGTTTAGAGAGACTTTATTCAAGCACACATGTTGAGGACAGGCCTACCCAAGAAGCACAAATTCCAAAGAATGGAAGTCAGCCTTCCTGCTCGAAGTGTAGACGCTTGGGATCATTTATCTGGACAAAGCCAAACAGAGCCTCTGTTGCCCAGGCTGGAGCGCAGTGGCTTGATCTTGGCTCATAACAACCTCTGCCTTCCGAATTCAAGAGATTCTCATGCCTCGCCTTCCTGAATAGTTGGGATTACAGGCGTGTGCCACGACACCCGGCTAATTTTTGTATCTTTTAGTAGAGATGGGGTTTTGCCATGTTGGCCAGCCAGGTCTTGAACTCCTGGCCTCAAGTGATCTGCCCGCCTCAGCCTCCCAAAGTGCTGGGATTACAGACATGAGCCACCATCCCCGGACACCTATGTACATCTTAATGCATAGTCATAATGTTCTGATTAGTTGAGGCAGCTTTCCGGAAAGGTATGTTTAACATTCCATGCTGTAGATGTAATTGTCCCTGGTCTTAGATGATACCTGATCTGAGTCAGTAAAAACAATGAAGGAAGCAGTTAAACTATAGCAGAGATCAGTGACTGGAAGGGGGGCTGTGGTCTCTCCTAGTCCCTTACCTAGCGGGAACAAAGAGGAGGAGAGTTCAACCATAATCTAAGAAACAGGATTGCAAACATGCTGTATGATTCAGTCTCCAGGGCTCAGCTTCCCCCTTGGCAATTTACAAACCCTACAGAACTTTTCTCCCCATTGTGTGATGGTTTGTGTTTAAATTGAAATTGAATATAAAACAAAATTCAGCCCTTCTGTCTCACTAGCCACATTTCAAGTGCTCCACGATACCTATGGCCAGACAGTGGGGGCATAGTCTAAAATACCTCCATCAATGTAGAAACTTACGGGCAGTGCTGCTTTGGCCTGCCCCCGGGCGTGTTTTCCCCAAGAATGTTCATATTGAAGCTGTTGTCCTCTCAGGAGAGCAGTGTTCCTCATTAATTAGGTGCCAAATTGGGGGACTAACAAGGTTAGCCACCTGGATGACCAGTTTGACCACAGGCCACAGGGCTCTGTTTCCCTCCAGGCCTGGAATAGGCACCCTACAGGCTATGGAAGAAGCCTGGTGGCTGCCTGGGAGGAACTCACAGCCTACGTGGAGGCCAGGAATACTTTCTGGGACCTGAGGTGGACAAGAATCTGCTGGTCAAGCTGGGCGCGGTGGCTCAAGCCTGTAATCCCAGCACTTTGGGAGGCTGAGGCGGGCGGATCACGAGGTCAAGAGATCGAGACCATCCTGGTCAACATGGTCAAACCCCGTCCCTACTAAAAATACAAAAAATTAGCTGGGCATGGTGGTGCGTGCCTATAATCCCAGCTACTCAGGAGGCTGAGGCAGGAGAATTGCCTGAACCCAGGAGGCAGAGGTTACGATGAGCCAAGATCACGCCATTGCACTCCAGCCTGGGTAACAAGAGCGAAACTCCGTCTCAAAAAAAAAAAAAAAAAGAATCTGCTGGTCAGAGGGGTCCCTGAGGGCATGGATGGGGCCAGACTCTGGCCTGGCTGCTAACAAGACTGAGCCTGGGAAGGCAAGTCCCTGTTTTCCGTTCCACCTGCACCCCCCAGGGTGGCATCCTTGATTCCCTTTCCTGGCCAATGCTGCCCTGCTTTCTCTGTCTCTTTCAGGGTGTGCTGTCCGACCTCACCAAAGTGACCCGGATGCATGGAATCGACCCCGTGGTGCTGGTCCTGATGGTGGGCGTGGTGATGTTCACCTTGGGGTTTGCCGGCTGCGTGGGGGCTCTGCGGGAGAATATCTGCCTGCTCAACTTTGTGAGTGGCCACAGAGACAAGAGTGGGATAGGATGGAGGGGGATACAGGTTCTGCTGGGCAGGGTTATATGTTACCTGGCCAGAGCAGGGGCAACTCTTAGAAGCCTCCCCCAGGCCCCTGCCTGGGAGCAGGAGGTAGCCCTTTGCACCCTGCTGTCTAGAGAAGCTGGTTCCTCACCCAGGAGAATTGGGTACCCTCTGGGTTTTAGCCCTTGGCGGGAGGAGTCAACTGCCTGTAGGCAGGCTCTACTCCCTGCTCCTTTGCCTTTTATCTTCCTTCAGAAGTTCTAAAAGAATTGTTTGTCTGCTCCTCTCCTTTGCCCTTCCTGACTAAGATCAAAAGATGTTGCAAATAACCTTAAGAAATCATTTCCCTCCTCTAAGGATGTGTGAGTCTGTTGGATGTACGAGGCAGAATCCCAAATTTCCTGGCAGAACTGCAGATTACTAAGAGTTTAGTTTTATATTTAAATATAAATTCATTTTTAGTTGTATCCAGTTAAATAACACCTGGTGGGGAAAACACGTTATCATATTTTGCAGTATATTGTTTGGTGACTTGATTAGGTCAAGCTTTCTCTTTCCTGGACTGAATTTTAAAAGCAAAGCTATGGGGTTTTTTTCCTCATTTTTTTCTTTGATGTTTAGCATGTTGCTTTTCTGTGAACAGAGATTACATTTTGGCAGGCCTTGTGTGCGTGTGTGTGTGCATGTGTGTTTCCTTTTTCTTACTTTGAAAGATTACTTCAAATTTGCCCGTTACGGCAAAGCTGCTTAGTGTCTTGTATGGCCAATGATAATGGCTGTGAGAGCGCAGACTGCAGGCTAGGAGTCCGCCCTGGTGGCATGTGGACCTGTGGCAGCACTGGGCCCTTACAGAATGCCACCACTGCTAGTGGCCCGGGGCAGTTGAGCTTCTGGAGGGGTCTTTATGCAGCTGACGATCACATAGCTTCATTCAGAGTTGGTACAGATAACACTGGCACTTCCAGAATTGTAAAGAACCCTGCCAGGGAACTCTGATGGCCAGCATGAACTATGTGACCTCAGGCAAGCTATGTACCTAGTGACATAGTCATAGTTTTCTCATCCCTAAAGTGAGGTGACAGATACCTAGGTACTCAATGGTTGTGTGAGGGGAAGGAGTCATCACATAGTGTCTGGGGCACAGCATCTGTACTAAAGGAGCCGACACCCCAGGATGCCACCCTGGGGGATCCAGGTGGACAGCCATTCATTCCTGTAATAGGGTTTCCTCCTTGTCCAGGAAGGAGGGCTGCTTCATAGGAAATGACTGACACATTGGCTTGGAGCTTTCTCACATTTTTTCAGTAATTTGACTGTTACCAGCAGTGTAGGGACGTGGGCAGGGACAAATAGCCCCTCTTTACAGATGAAGCGAAGTTGCCTAGAGTCACCCAGCTGCGGGATTCTCAGGGCCCCGATGTGAGACTTTCTGGTGCAGAACCCATGCTCTGCTGCAGTGGTTCTGGGTCATGTGGAGTTGTTGGTGGGGGTGCGGGGCGGGCAAGGTCAGTGGGGTGGTGACTACTGCTCCCGTCCCCATCCCCTGCAGTTCTGTGGCACCATCGTCCTCATCTTCTTCCTGGAGCTGGCTGTGGCCGTTCTGGCCTTCCTGTTCCAGGACTGGGTGAGGGACCGGTTCCGGGAGTTCTTCGAGAGCAACATCAAGTCCTACCGGGACGACATCGACCTGCAGAACCTCATCGACTCCCTTCAGAAAGCTGTAAGCACCTCCCAGCGGGCCCCTGATAGAGCATACTCCTCCCTGAGGCCTGCTGTGTGCCCGGAGCTGAGGCTAGCAGGGGCGCCAGGCCTTCTCTCCTGTGGGTTTTCTGCAAGCAGTTTGGCGGACAGCAGAGAGGCCATGGAACAGGCCACCCAGCCTCTGGTTTGTTCCACTTTGCTGGCTTGTGGTTGCCCAGCGGGCCAACCCTTTCCCATTGTGATTGGGCAGGCAAGTCCAGCTGCACCCAAGGCCACCCGCCCCAACGTGTTGGGCCCTCCTCTTTGGGACCTAGATCTTTTCAGTCCTGCCCAATGGCCCCTTGGGCTACAGTCCTCCTTAGGCGCTGCATACCATGAGGCACAGCTCCTTCCCCCAGGCTTATGACTCACTGTCTGAGGCTATTCCTGCCCTCTTCCTCCCTGGGACCTTTTCCCCTTCCTGTTTGAGAAGGCAGGGCTGCCTGGAGGAAGCTTTGTCAGATCTAGCGGAATGTGACCTCCCTGGAATATGTCCCCAGGGGTTTATCTAAGCAGTCCCAGGCTGTGGCTTTTACTCCATCTGGTCCCCATCCCCCTTATTCCTCTCCTGTGTGGCTGCACCTGGAGGCTTGGGCCATAGCTGTCCCAGCCCCCCAGGGAGGAACCCCCTCCCTGGCCACGTCAGCCTGTGCAGTGCAAGGCTCTTGTTTGATCTTTACGCTGCCAGAAAGCCCAGCTTCTTTAAAAACTTTTCTTTTTTTTTTTTTTTTTTTTTTTTTTTGAGACAGAGTTTTGGTCTTGTTACCCAGGCTGGAGTGCAATGGCGCGATCTCGGCTCACCGCCACCTCCACCTCCTGGGTTCAAGCAATTCTCCTGCCTCAGCCTCCTGAGTAGCTGGGATTACAGGCACACGCCACCATGCCCAGCTAATTTTTTTGGATTTTTAGTAGAGATGGGGTTTCACCATGTTTACCAGGATGGTCTCGATCTCTTGACCTCGTGATCCACCCGCTTCGGCCTCCCAAAGTGCTGGGATTACAGGCTTGAGCCACCGCGCCTGGCCTAAAAACTTTTCATATGGAACACTTTGGTTTTGCGAAGACAGTAACTTAGAAAACATTAAAAATCTATGATTCACTCTCATTATTAACCAAAATTTGTTCACCTTTATTTCATGTATTATGGGATCCGGCAAAACCCATTTATGGGACTGAAGATTCTGCCTGTACTGTTATTACTAATGTGTGTCAGTCTGTGAAAGCCACCACACCCCAGCCCCGTTTGGATGCCTCTCCCTTCTCTCCTGTTCAGTGCCATCGTCCTCTTCATTTCACATAGCCCTGGCTTGCTGGTCTCCGCCTGCTTAGGTTGTGGTTTGGACCTGCACTGTCTTAAAAACATAGTAGTTTTCTCCATGGACTTCTTTTCTTTTAAAAATGAAACTTCCTAGAGGAGGGATTCAGTAAATTACAGAGCTTCCTTGGGGTGAAATTTCAGGTAATCACTAAAGCAAGTGGAACAGTAGAGGTGTCAGGGGAGAGGGTTTACCTGAGAGGTAAACAAAATAAAAAACCAGAAATCACTGTTGTCATTTTTTTTTTTTTTTCCCGTGACCAAGTCTTGCTCTGTCGCCCAGGCTGGAGTTCAGTGGTGCGATCTCAGCTCACTACAACCTCCGCCTTCCAAGTTCAAGGATTCTCCTGCCCCAGCTTCCTCAGTAGCTGGGATTACAGGCACATGCCACCATGCCTGGCTGGTTTTTTTTATTTTTAGTAGAGACGGGGTTTCCTCATGTTGGTTAGGGTGGTCTTGGACTCCTGACCTTGTGAGGAGTTGGCCCGCCTCAGCCTCCCAAAGTGCTGGGATTACAGGCATGAGCCACCACGCCCGGCCAGCTGTTTTTCTTAAAATTCTTAGAATTCGCTTGTGAGTTTCTCCGGGAGGAAGAACACTGCACACTAGGAGGTGTTCTCTTGTGGTGAGAAGAGGACCACGCCAAGGTGCCGAGGGGGCCTGCACGGAGAGGAGGCCACTTTCCTCTCCTTTGAGGAGACTGGAAGGAGGAGTCTCCTTTGAGGAAACTGGGAAGAAGGGCAAGCTCCCTGCTGAGGAGGGCGAGGGCTGGGTTTGTCGTGCCCAGCAGTGGGGCCAGGGAGCTCCACTGAGCCAGCCATATTGGGTTAGATTGAGGAGGCACCGTGGCCCTGGAGATACCTTCACTGCCATTTCATTTTTATTTATTTGTTTTTATTATTTTCTTTAACACATCAAAAGGGCAGGCTCTCTTCACCCCCCTCTCCTCCCCTCTCCCCCCCTCCCCCCTCCCTTCCTCCCTCCCTCCCTTCCTCCCTCCCTCCCTTTCTTCCTTCCTTTTTCTTCTTTTTCTTCCTTTCTCTTTCTTCTCTCTCTCTCTCTCTCTCTCTCTCTCTCTCCTTGCTTTCTCTTTCTCCTTTTTTCTCGCTCTCTTTTCTTTTCTTTCCCTTCTTTCTGATTGGGGGCAGAGGGGTCTTGCTGTGTTGCCCAGACTTGTTTCCAGCTTATGGGATCAAATCATCCCGCCACCTCAGCCTCCTGAGTCGCTGAGATTACAGGCCTGAGCTACCACACCCAGCTGTTTTCTTCTCAAAGGGCTGCCTGGGTTGCCAGCTTAGCATCTCTGCACATGGGAGGTAGCTGGGCGGGCCTCGATTTCTCTGCATGGTAGGTGCCAGCAGACTTAGCCTGACCTCACCAAGAATGCTGCCCTGTGCTGGGCAGCCATGGGACTGTCTTGGAGCCTTTGACAGTTCTGGCTTCTGTGGTTGCAGAACCAGTGCTGTGGTGCATATGGCCCTGAAGACTGGGACCTTAACATCTACTTCAACTGCAGTGGCGCCAGCTATAGCCGAGAGAAGTGTGGGGTCCCCTTCTCCTGCTGCGTACCGGATCCTGCGGTGAGTTGACTTGTGCTGGCCCTTCTTGAAGCCCACAGCTTTCCTGACTCTTGTGCTCTGCGATATTCTCTCAAGCAGGTCGGAGGAGTAGGTGTACTCTCTCCTCGCCCTCCTCAAGGCTGCCGCAGCTCAGAAATCCAATACTTGTACATTCTAGGAACATTGCTTGCATGACCCACCCTGGCCTTGGTGTTCTAGGTGAGGCAGGAGAAAAACAGTATTCCTACCTGGAGGGCTGTCACTCGGGGTAGCTGGCCAAGAGCTATGAGGGAAATAAGGCCTGCTTAGCCATCTTCACTGTTCTTTTTCTGGAGCAAATGCCTAGAACCCAGCAGCACACAGTGGCTGTGGGCACACATCATTAACTGGGGAACAGTAGTGGAGAATTCTTTTCTGGTTTTTTTTTTTTTTTTTTTTTTTTTTTTGAGTTTCACCCTTGTTACCCAGGCTGGAGTGCAGTGAAGCGATCTCGGCTTACTGCAACCTCCGTCTTCCAGGTTCAAATGATTCTCCTGTCTCAGCCTCCAGGGTAGCTGGGATTACAGATGCATGCCACCACACCCAGCTAATTATTTTCTGTTTCTTTGTGGAGTTTGTTTTTTTTTTTTTGGAGACAGGGTCTCACTCTGTCGCTCTGGCTAGAGTGCAGTGGTGTGATCTCAGTTCTCTGTACAACCCCTGCTTCCCTGGGCTCAAGCAATTCTCTGGCCTCAGCCTCCCAAGTAGCTGGGATTACAGATGCACACCACCACACCTGGCTAGTTATTTTCTGTTTTTTTTTTTTGTGGTGGTATTTTTTTTTTGGAGACAGGGTCTCACTCTGTTGCTTAGTCTGGAGTACAGTGGTGCGATCTCAGCTCATTGTGCAACCACTGCTTCCCCGGGCTCAAGCAATTCTCCAGCCTCAGCCTCCCGAGTAGCTGGGACCACAGGCTTGAGCCACCACACCCAGCTAACTTTTTTATTTTTTGTAGATGGGGTTTCACCATGTTGCCCAGGCTGGTCTTGCATTCCTGGGCGCAAAGCGATCTGCCCATCTTAGCCTCTCAAAGTGCTGGGATTACAGGTGTGGGCCACTGTGCCTGTCCTGTCCTTTCTTTACCTATTTTCATTCCTAATCCAAGGCCAGCATTCTTGGGTTCCAGAAGCTGGGCTCTTGGGGTGACCTGTGAAGGAGCTCTGAATTTTGCCTGAACTGAGCCTGAGCAGAACTGGGCCTGTTACCTGCTCTAGGTACAGTTATGTAAAGCCAGGTACTGGGTTATGGGCTCTTAGAAGACAGAGCATCACCACTCTTATATAGACAATTTCTGCAGCCCAGGAGAGGCTCAGATTTGCTGAAGTTGCACAGATCTTCTGAGGTCTCCACTGTGACTGTGAAATGTACCAGTTTCATAAGTGTTACTTTTAGCACATATAGTTCTTACCTCCAAATATAGGTCTTACCTCCTAGCAAACTGGGCCCACCCACCCTGCCCCCCGCCCCCCGCCCCACACCCCAGGCCAAATGTGGCCTGCTATTTTTCCATGACCTGTGAGCTAAGAATGCTTTCAGGTGTTTTTAAATGGTTGGAAATAAATCAAAAGAAGGATTATTTGTGGTACATGAAAATTATATGAAATTCAAATTTCAGTGTCCATAAAGTTTTCTTGAAATACAGCCATTCCTGTTTGTTTTTATATTATCAGTGCTTGCTGTCATGCAACAAAAGCAGAGTTGAGTCTGTGTCTGAAATAGTCACTCTCTAGCCCTTCACAGAGAAAGTTTGCCACCCTGTCCTGGCCTGAAGGATTAGTTGGTGGCATGATTGAAGGACATGATCTGTAATGGAATTTGTACAATTGTTTGCTAGTGTTTGGTTGTGACTTTTCTAGAGCCTCTAACCACCAGCTTCTTGAGACACCAAAAGTAACTAATTTTTCTGCTTTTCTTGCAGCAAAAAGTTGTGAACACACAGTGTGGATATGATGTTAGGATTCAGGTGAGCACTCCAGTGTGTACCACTTTAGAGTTCTTTAGGTTTTATTCCCTATGGTTCCACATCCTGATGCAGTGCAAGTGCAAATTGAAGTGGGAGAACTAGGGGCAGTGAAGCTCCTGATGCCACCTAAGCTGAGCATGGGCACAGTGACACATACACACTGCTTCCTGGGTTGGCAGCAAGACTCCTGCGAGCAGTAATAGTGATTCTAAGCCTTGTGAGCTGCAGTCTCAACACCTGGGAGTTGCTGCATTTAAAGAGGTGGGGTGGAAGTTTCGAGGGACAAAGACTGCATTTTTAGGAGGCTCCTTGAGTCCCAGAAGGTGTCTCTTGTTAAGGGGACAGCTGCAGGAGTGTATGTGCCTTGCTCTGGCCTCCATGTGGAGGCAGTGGTGACAAGGAGGGAGGCAGGCCTGGGGCAGGGGCGAGGCCCTGTCCTCTGGGACTTCTTTTAGCCTGTAGGGAGTGTGCTCTTGGATGCAAAGGGAAGCAAGACCTTATCCCACTCCAGTACTTGTTCTGGTGGTCTTTGGTGATATGAATGACTGCTATTCTAAAAGGGAGGAGTCTCGAGGAATCTGCAGAGATCCCTCCTGTTCACCATGGATACAAGGGATGTGTCCCTACAGCTTGGGGAACTGTCCTCCTTTAGGGACCTGCATTTCACAGGGAGAAGCTGCTATAAACTGAATGTTTGCGTCTCCCCAACATTTACCTGTTGGAACTTAAACCCCAGTTTGATGGTATTAAGAGGTAAGGCCTTTGGGAAGGGATTAGGTCAGGAGGACAGAGTCCTTATGAGTGGGATGAGTGCCCTTATGAAAGAGGCTCGGAGAGTTTATTTGTCACTCCACTTCGTGAAGACACAGTGAGAGGCTACCGTCCATGAAACAGAAAGTGCGCCCTCATCAGACACCAAATTTGCCCGTGCTCTGATCTTGAACTTCCCAGCCTCCAGGACTGTGAGAAAGAAATTTCTGTTGTTTATAAGCCACCTAATCTATAGTATTTTGTTATAGCTGGCTCAATGGACTACCATGAGAACCTGTATCAACATCAGTGTCCCTAATTATGAATTTTTTTTGCCACTTACATTAATTTGCTAAGGCTACTGTCACAACATACCACAGATGGAAATTTAGGTCACAGTAGACATTTATTTTCTCACAGTTTGGAGGCTAGAAGTCCAAGATCAAGGTGCTGGTGGGGTGGGTGTCTTCAGAGGGCTGTGACGGAAGGGTCTGTCCCAGGCCTCTCTCCTGGCTGCAGGTGGCTGTCTCTTGTGTCCTCACGTGGCTCCCCTCTGTGCATGTCTGTGTCCTGATCTCTTCTTAGCAGGATGCTTGTCATAATGGATTAGGGGCCACCCTGATGGCTTCATTTTATCTTAATTACCTCTGTAAAAGCCTGTCTCCAAATACAATTATGTTCTGAGGTCCTGGGGGTTAGGACTTCAGCATATGAAATTTTAGCTGACACGATTTAGCCCCTAACACCTCTAAAGTGAATTAATGCACCATCGTGTTGCCATGGAGGAGGCTGATAGGTCAGGGGGCTGGGGCCAATTGCTCTGTGTGGGGTGGGCAGGGCTGGGTGTGTGCTGGGGTGGTTACTGACGCCCCACTGGGTTCAGCACTGGAGGGAGCCGGTCAGCTGGTGACTGTTGCCTGCTGGCTCTGCTGCCTGGAGCCAAGCTTACCAGTGGGATATCTGCTCCAAGAAGCCCCCTTCCGTCCCTCCCTTCTCAGGAAACTCTGGACCCCTTTTCCAGGTTTGCCTTTAAAGGCACATCCTCCTCCAAGCCTTCAAGCCCCCTCTCTTTCTCCAGATGTGGATGTTGGGGAAAGGTATCTTGAGAAAGTTGGTCTTTAAAACTCTGGATACCTGAAGAGAAACAGCCAGGGAGCCTTTGGTCAGACAGATGGTATGATCACAAGATGTCCAGCAAGGGCAGAGGCTGAGACGAGCTGGATAGTGTCTCCTGGAGAGTCCTCCGTGCCTGCCTTCCGGATCCCTTGTTCCCACCCTGCTTTGCCCTGCTCCCTGCCAGGGCTTTCTAGGGGACCGGGGTTGGAATATCATGCTTGCCAAAGGCTCAGGCCCCTGTGGTGTTTCCCTGCAGCTGAAGAGCAAGTGGGACGAGTCCATCTTCACGAAGGGCTGCATCCAGGCGCTGGAGAGCTGGCTCCCGCGGAACATCTACATTGTGGCCGGCATCTTCATTGCCATCTCGCTGCTGCAGGTGTGTCCCAGGAGCCTGTAGAATTGGCAGGCAGCATTTTTTCATTTGAGAAGATTGGGCCCTTAACATAGAGTGCATGGGTGTGTTATTAAGGAACCTTGCAGAAGGAAAAAAGGGATTCCACTGGATGTCCAAGGCTGAGAGAGTGTATGTGTGTGAACATATTGGGGAGGAGAATGGTGGCTTTCATAAATGCTACCTACAGGGGACCTCTCTGGGCAGGGGCAGGCTGGGAGAGGCTTGTGGCCCTGCACAGGTCCTGTTGGTTGCTCTCCCCTGAGGGCCTGATGGTCTGCAGAAGGGTCACTGCCTGTGCGGAGGTGGGTGAGGAGTGTGCTCGGGGTAAACCATCAAGCACTGCAGACGGGGAGGCAAAACTCTTGGTCAGCTGGGGCCTGAGGGTGGCCTGAGGCTCATATGTTTGCACTCGCCCCAGGACCTCTCCTGTCTCTTGCTCTTGGCCTGGGGCTGTCAGGCATCTTCCCTGTCCATGAGACATCCTCTGAGACCTGCTGCTGTTTATGGCATCCTTTGCCCTCCCAGGCTGTGCTTGTTCATTTGAACCAGGTTTCACACATGGGAGAATGTTGGTGGCCAAGCAGGCAGTGAGGCCTGGGGTGACTGGGCTGGTTGGTGATGGCCAGGAGAACTGGCAGAGAAAGTTGAGAATTCAGTGATCAGAGAAACCAGGAGTCTTTCCAGTGCTGTGCAGGGCTTGTATTAAGAACCTCCAGCTTTTGGGTTCACTGATGCAGTTCTTGTGTGGAAAATACACCATTTAGAAAATGTTTGACTCTGTCCTTGCCTTGCAGAGGGTGACTGAGGTGGACCCAGGGCCACCAGCCACCCACACATACCTTCTTCCTTCAAGGAAGACTAAGAGTTAGGAGAAAGCAACTGGAAAAGGAAAGAAACAAGTTATTTGCAAAATGGGCAAGGGAAGAATCAGACTTCAGAAGGACTGACTAGTTAAATTAGAACCACACAAAAATGTAAAGGGGAAAAAAGCCATTTCCAGAGGTCACCAAGTTCATGTTTGTTCACGTTAAAAGAACATCTCTCACTCCCTGCTCACCAAGGTTGGGATGGATCTTCAGACATTAGCACAGCCAAAATTGGGGTTGGCTTTGGTTTTATTATGGAATAGATGTTTACAGGAAACATTCAAGATGTATTATTTTGGGAATCAGAACCAGTCAGGGTGACCCTGTTATTTTTGGTTTAACCCAGGGACAGGCGTGTCCTGCCCCATGGTGTGTGACGCACTTAATCATGTTGGAGGCAGGGCAGAGTGTGTTTTGCTTGTGGTGCCTGTGGTTGGCCTCTTCTAGGCTCTGGGGATGTAACAAACTAGATAGACCCCAGGACCCCCTTTTGGCGGGAGGGGCGGCTGTGCTGTGCCGCTTGCTTGTGGTACCGTCTCTTCATCCTCAGTTGCAGTGGAGGGGTGAGGAGAGGTGTGCAGTGGGAGCCCCCAACCGCACCCTCCACTCCCTGCTCTCTGCCTTTGGGCCCTAGTGATGGCTGCTGACTCTGCTGGTGTTGGTTTCAGATATTTGGCATCTTCCTGGCGAGGACCCTGATATCAGACATCGAGGCGGTGAAGGCCGGCCATCACTTCTGAAGAGTGGAGTTGAGGGAGCCGAGCTGAGCCACGCTGGGAGGCCAGAGCCTTTCTTTGCCGTCAGCCCTACGTCCAGAGGGAGAGGAGCCAGCACCCCATCTTCAGCATCAGCCTGACATGACCTGTCTGTTTCTGCTTGCTGGTGCTGAAGACCAAGGGGTCCCCTTGTTATCTGCCCAAACTTGTGATTGCATCCCTGCTGGGGTCTACTCAGAGACAGAATGTGTCTTTATGTGGGAGTGGTGACTCTGAAGGACAGAGAATGCTCCTGCGGCTTCCAGGAGGGCTTGACTCAGTCCCCCTGCAGCTCAAGCACGTTTGCAGGACACCCTGGCCCCCTCTCCACTGGTGTCCAAACATCTGCTTTGGGTCATCCACATCTGTGGGTGGGCCATGGGTAGAGGGACCCGAAGACGTGGACAGGGCATTTCTCTCCATCAAACCAAGCAGCACGGGGACCTGCCTGTAACTGGGGAGGCAGACGGGGCCCCACTGGGCCTCTGAGTGCCATTGTGGTCTGCGGGGGCATGCACACATCAGGGGTTGTTTGCAGGATCCTCAGCCATGTTCAAGTGAAGTAAGCCTGAGCCAGCACGTGGACTGGTGCCACGGGAGTGCCTTGTCCACTGCCCTGCCGTGCCTGCCAGCTGTTCTCCCGGTGCCAGAACTGCCTCTGGTCTTGACAGCATTAAGCCCTGGTGGCGATGGTGGGGCAGTGGACATGGTTCTTCACTGAGAGCCGGCTCTCCTTTTCTTAAAGTATGTAAATAGTTTATTTATAGGGGTAAGAATGTTCTCACACCATTTCACTTCCTCTTCCTCTCCTCCAGCATTCTTCCTTGAGCAGCCTTACATGGTGTCCACGGCTGGAGCCGACCCTTTGAATCCCCTTGAATGTCTTAAGAACCAGCCCGTAACAGCCTCTCCTTCCCTTCCATATACTGCAGCCTCCCTCCATGCATCCCAGGCACAAGCACTCGTCCACTTCCCAGCGTGGCCTCACCGTCTTCTGTCCTTGGTGCTACTGAAATTGTCAGCCAGAACTTGAATCCTGACCCTCCCCACTACTGCAAGCCCGGGGAGCCTCAGCCCAAGGTGGCCAGGCCAAAACTGTTGGCCAGGGCTCCTCTTTTGGCTGCGTACCCAGGGCTGGCCGGCCTGCCATTGGCTCTCTCCGGACAGCCGTTCTGCAGCCAGGCCCAGGGCCAAGCCATGACCCCAGGCTGCAGCTGCTCAGAAGGTCCGGCGTTTTGTTTCTGACTTAAGTGGTGACCGCCCCCCCCCACCATAGGATATCAGTGGTGAGTGGTCCACCCTTCCTGTCAGGGCTGTTCTGGGGACTGCTCTTAGAAATTGTCTTCTTAAATACTGAGTAACTCCCCTGGGGATAACTGGGACATTTGTCCAGCTGGGCTGCTTTCTAACGCTTTGCCATATCTCATACCACTTCTTTCCTCATCGTTCAGGGATTGAGTGCAACCTTCGGTTACTTGCTGGAGTGTACATTCTAGTGTGGTGTATACCAGTGGCTGTTGATGATGATGTCGTCATCTTTTTTTCCTTTTTCTTTTCTTTTTTTTTTTTTACAATTTTCTGTAGACTAGGAGAAGAAGAATGCTTGTGTTTTTAGGAAGTGTGATGCCTCTCTTTGACTGCCAAACTCTTTTATGGAATATATCTTTATATCAATGCTGTTGTTTTGGTCGTTTTTGTTTGGAGTCACTATCAAGATGCTGCTATGCATCTCAGTGGTGAACGCAGCTGCCAGAGGAACCAAGGGAGAGGGTATGTAGACCTTACAGAAGGGTGGATAGTAAAGGTGGTTCGTCAATAGCATGATCTGACTTACATTTTATTGAGTGATTTTTTTTTTTTTTTTTAAGATTCTGTACGGCAGCACTTTCAGTTACCCTTTGTGTGCAGGCTGCAGCCAGCACAACTTGGCTTGTGGTCTATCCCCAGCTGTGTGAGCTGGAGAAACTTCAACTCCATAGGTCTAGAGGAAACATTATTTTAGGCTTTCTGTCCACCCTGGGTGATACTATTTATTGATCCAAGCAAGAGAGCTTGGGGATGCCAAGTCAAATTGCGGCATAGAGTTGAAGTCTGGGCAGTGCCACTGCGTGAGCTGTGTATGTCCTGGGCGTGCTGGCCTGTCTGTGAAGGGGGTTGGTGACGGTGCCCGCTTCACTAGGTGCCTCTGGCCCAGCCTCCCATGGGGAAGTGGGAGGCCGCAGAGCCTGCCTGCTAGAGCGTTTAGTGGTGCTAAAACCTCCTGGAAGGCTCCTGTAGGCCTGACCCTTCTATTTCTGTAGACCTAGTTCAGAATGAAGTCTGAGTGTGACTTCTGCAGAGTTGGGTTTGTCTTTGGCCATTTTCAGCCATGTCATGTGACTCTGAATAATTGGATGAGGAATGGAAAGAAAGCAAGGATGAGAGCTGGGCATCTGGCAGTTTCCGCCCAGCACGGGCTGTCTGCACAGAGGCACCGGGCAAGCCTCCTGCACGCTCCCCACCCAGCACTGGCCTGCCCTGAATCCCCACCTTCCCTGGTTGGAGGCCTGCTGTGGCATCTGCACCCTCTCCTCACCCCACCATGCACATACTCACTTTAAAGTCTTGGGGTCCTTCCTGTACCCCCTCCCCGATCCCGGTCCACCCCACTTCCGGATCTTGCCACGTTATTTTTCCTGTCCCCTATTCCTGTCACTAGCCTGCCTTTCCCCATCCTAAAAACTTGCTGTAGCCCTGTGGCTGCCTCCCTTTCTTTCCCAGGCAGCTTCTTATCTGGGTTGCGTGTACCCCTCCTTTCCACCACCCACCATGCCGCATGTAGCTGAAAGCTGCCTATCCCAGCTGTCAACCCAGACCTTCCTTTGGCCTCTGTAGCACCGGACACCGCACTCCTGAAAGTCCTCTGCTTCAGAGGCCCAGGCTTGCCAGTTGTCTGACCTCTCCCATTCGTCTGCTCAGGACTCCACTGCAGCTGTCCTTACTGGCCTCCAGGGAATCCCACTTCCCAGAGGGCAGGGCTGTGGGCTGGGCAGAAAAACCCATCTGCATGGTTCACAAGAAGCCTGGCACTCGGTTTCTCCATGAATAACAATGAAAACTGATGGATACAGAACCTTCCTAGAACATAGAATTTCTCCAGGATATTCCACGCAGAGGCCACCTGGGAGGTGATGGGCACGCATGTGAGTGTAGATGGCTGCAGTGTTGGTCCCAGCAGAGCAGAGAGGGTCTCAGTCTCAACAGGGAGCCCACCTGATGGTTTCTCAGCCAGCAGTGTCAGGAGAATATAGACTGCAGAGAAAGGAGGGAAGTAGCAGTGGTCGTGGCACCTAGGGCATCCTGCTGTCATGGGAAGGTCTCTGCCCAGGTATCAGGTGCGTCAGCCTGTCGCCCACTGGTTCAAAGCTTTCAGCTGTACTGGGTGAGGGTGGGTGGTGGAGTGCTGAATGACCTTCATGGGTGGGCATTTCCAGCTCTAGGGTAAATGGGGTGTCTGTCCACAGAACCACAGGGTTTTTAGGTTGTGTGTTTGGGGCTATGGGAACCTGTCCCCCATGATGTGTCTTGGTAGGGACACCTCCCTGTGCTTGTGTCTGTCGTGCCCGGGAAGATGCTGCCCGGCCTTCCAGGGCAGGTGATCACCTGGAGCTCTGTTCTCGTTCATCTAGATGCCTTCCAGAAATCTGGGGAGTCATACACCTTTAGAGCCTTTTTAGCCTTTTTAACTCCTTATCAAGTTGGCAAGGCTCGGCCATTCCTGTTCAAGGCTGTATTAAAGGCACGTTCATTCTCAAATGTTTTTGGCGTCTCCAGGGTGCCTCAGGAAAACATGAAGTGGGCATTATAGAACTTGGGGCTACTGTGTAACTTTGGAAGAAAAAGTTAAGGGTACGTAAGTGTATACTGTTTTGATGAAATTGCCAACTTCAGTGAGCCCAGCTTTGGGAAGGAGGACATGAGTATTCCTTAGAAGGGTCTGAAACAATTCTTTCTTCACTCAGCTTTGTTTTTGTGCTCTGCATCTTATATTCCAGCAGGGGCTTCCAATGCATGGTAGTAACTATCAGAACTGGCCGGGCACAGTGGCTCACGCCTGTAATCCCAGCACTTTGGAGGTCAAGGCAGGTGGATCACTTGAGGCCAGGAATTCAAGACCAGCCTAGCCAACATGGCGATACCCCAGCTCTACTAAAAATACAAAAATTAGCTGGGCATGATGGTGCATGCCTGTAGTCCCAGCTGCTTGGGAGGTTGAGGCAGGAGAATTGCTTGAACCCAGGAGGCGGAGGTTGCCGTGAGCCAAGATCAAGCCACTGCACTCCAGCCTGGGTGACAGAGGACACTCCATCTCAAAAAATAAAATTTAAAAAAACCTACCAGAATAAATTATCACCTTGGACCATAATTTTGTCACCTCAAACAACTTTTAGTCTTTTAAAAAAGTATACTAAAATAAAAATCTAAACATAGACCGTAAAATGAAAAGTGAAAGTATGTCTTCTGTTCCCCAGAGGTAACTACTATTAGGAATCCTTCCTGAAAATGTCCATGCATATACTCAGGTCATCACACACATGGAATCATTTTACATAGTATTTTATAAATGTTACTTAATATACTGACCCACAGTGCATTTTCACGGTCACGCCATGGGTTGTAGGAGCATGCCAAGAGCAGATGGGCCTCGCCTTTGTACCAGAGGAGTACGTTTACAGTCACAGGTAATAGAAAACCCAATTCAAACTGGTCTAAACAATGGGGAGGTTTTGGCTCCTGAAACTGGAAAGTCCAAAGGTGGGGTGAGTTTCAGGGTTGGGTTGATCCAAGTGACTCAGTGACGCCAACAGGATCTTGTTTCCTTTTCTCTCTGCTCTGCCTTCCACAGCATCCCCTTCACCTGTGGTGGAGGGAAGGAGTCTATCCCGGCAAACCCCGAGCCTCCCCTTGTTGGGGGTGATGTGATGGTGAAGCCAGCAAGGGAAGGGACCCCCGGACGCCCTCCTCTTCATGGTTCATCATCTCGCTGAAACCATGCAGCTGTGAAATGCAGCATCCTCCAGGAGCGGGACGAACACTGGGGATGCTGCCAACTATTCCCATCGCGCTTCTGTGGATGGGTGTGACAGTTGTGTGCAGGGTTTTGCTCTTACAAGGGCTTTTAGAAGCAACAACTGTACAGTGTTTTGTTGTTGGAATTACAGTGTTTTTAGAGGAGTTCTGTAGGGAGGTGGGCCCACATTTGAATGAGTAGGTGCTCAGTCGGGGCTGGGGTGTGCCTATGCTGCCTGACCATTGCTGGTGTGTGTAGGTGTGGGGTGAAAAAACTTCCTACCCCCGTGAGGTTGTTTCGAGGATTAAATGACTTGAGATGGGTAAAGCATCTAACAAAGATCCAGATTATCTAATATGCATCTCCTGAATTATTGCTAACATAATGACTGGGAGATTTTATCTGTGGCTGCCAATCCCTGCATGAGAGCTGCCTGGGTCACATGTCAGCTCAAGCTTTGAACCACACTGAAATGAAACGGTCCACTTGCCTGTCCCTTTAGGAACAAGTCTTCGAGGTCTGCGGCAAGCCTCAGCAGGCATTTGGAGTTCAAGGTCTGTTTACTTTCTGTGCCCTAGAGGTGAGGAGGCAAGGCAGGGTGTTGCTTCTTGCTTGGAGTGCAGATCCTACCAGAAACCAACACAACCGAAGTTGCCAGGGAGCTCCCGGAAGGAGCAGAGTGGCCATCACCTGCCAAGGGACCAGGGTAGGCCACAGAGGCCTGGGGGCCAGGAGGGATGGTCTGTGGGGAAAAGGGATTATTGTGAGCATAGTGCTGGGGCTGATGTGCTCTGAAGATGGCAGGACATCATGTTTGGACAGTTGGTGGACCCCATCTGGTCCCACGTGTAAGGAGAACAGAGGCCCTGGGATGTGCTGGGACTTGCCTGAGGTCTGAGTGGGACTGGGTGCTCCTCCGTGCCTCCCACGAGGAAGGGTGTCCATCTCTGGGAGGACAGCTCGGCAGGGCTGGGAACCTGGGGTCGGTGCTACAGGACCTGCGTGAGACCACCGTGTGTGGGCCTTGCTTGGCTTGCCCTGGTGCCCTGAGAAAAACCTGATTTCTGAAAATACACGCGGTCACACTGCTGGAAGCTCAGGAAAAGCCAGGGTTTCGTTCTGAGGCAGTGGAGTGTCACCACGAGCTTGCGTTTTCCTCTCTCCTCACTCCACCTGCAGCCATTTCAGCCACACCGCCTTTCCACGGAACTCAGGGTTGCAGGTCACGTGTGTAGATGCTGATTTAGGTCCAAGCACTCAGCTGTCTGGGAGGACCATAGTGTTTTCTTCTAGTTTTAGATTTGTACTCATTCTTATTTTTAAAGTCATAGCTGTGATCTAATACAGGAAGAAGCGAAGTGGCCTCTAGGAGGGACTGAGCACCCTGTCCTTGGAGGTATGCAAGCCCAGGCTACACCCTTGGAATGATATGGCTGGGAATGGGCTTTGTGCTGCGTGGACCATGGCAAGCCTCCATCTCTGAGATGTAGTGGTCCTTCCCATGCCCGCTGTTAAAGATAATTTTTTTAAAAAAAGACATGACTTATAAATTTTACATGTACACATGTCTAAGATTTTATTTAACTCAATTGAGAGTGCCGCTGAGATTAGCAGCCAGTTCAAAAGAAATTGCAATGAACCATAAATCTATATGGAGTAAAGGAATGTTGAAACTGGCTGGGTTTCTTTTGGGTTTTTATATGTTTGTTTGTTTTTTGGAGGAGAAAGGTCAATTGAATCTCATTCGTATATATGCATATCCATAGGAAAGAATTATTTTGCATTAACTCAACAACTTAGAGAGTTGTAAAAATAGCTCAAAGGCAATGAAAGTCTAGAATCAGATAACTGGAAGGGTGCGCCCTAAGCAATGCATAGTTTTCTTTTTTTTTTTCTTTTGAGACAGAGTTTCACTCTTATCGCCCAGGCTGGAATGCAGTGGTGCAATCTTGCTCACTGCAGCCTCTGCCTCCTGGGTACCAGTGATTCTAATGCCTCAGCCTCCTGAGTAGCTGGGATTAGATTACAGGTGCATACCACCATACCTAGCTAATTATTGTATTTTTAGTAGATAAAGGGTTTCACCGTTGGTTGGCCGGTATGGTCTCAAAACTCCTGACCTCAGGTGATCTGCCTGCCTTGGCCTCCCAAAGTGTCAGGATTACAGGAGTGAGCCACCACACCCAGCCCCAGTGCATTGTTTTCTACTGAAGACAACCAGAATCTCTTGCTCATTCCAAATTTCCTTCCACCTCTTGTCCATCCAGGAGAGCCACTTTTAAAATAGGACCCAGGCAGAAATTTAAAGGAGCCAATATCTTATGGTGAAAAGTGAAACCTGAGGGATAGAGCACCCGCCAGGTGCCCTAGGTAAGAGCCAGCCACTGTGGGAGGCAGCCCGGGGCCACTCACTGTCCTCTCAGTAATAAATGGATCACTGAGGCCATGTCTGCCACCCAGAAAGCCTGAGTGTCCTCAAACCCTTGTTAGAGCTGCCTCCCCATCCACTCCCGCGGACACCAGGTCCCAGCAGTTGCTAAAACCAAAACTGCTGAACTTTGCTTCTCTTCAACCCCCAATTCCACCCACACCCAGAACTGCCCTGCCCCATCTTCCCATCTCAGCTGAGGGCACCACCATCCACCCTGTGGCCAAATCCAGGAACGTGCCTATCACCTGGGCTCTGAGGATGACATCAGCTCTTCTCAGTCAACAGAATGTCAGGTCACCTATTCTAAAAGTCTCATCTGACGAGATTTTGAAGGCTTTACTCCCTGGGATAACCATCGTGATGGATTTCAGTGTCATTCTGCCTTTTTCTCCTGAATGATTCCTGGGACTCGCCTTGTTTGCAACATGTGCGTTCGAATCTCTTTTCAACATAAGTGTGTTCTGAATTGTGTTTACTTCCCTTATCTGTGAATCTCAGTGATTCCTCGAAGCTGTGGTTGGTGGGGGATGGGGTGGGAGGACTTTGCTAGTATAAAAGAGAACCTGCAATGAATGTTCTAAGAAACTGGGGTGCTGGGGTCCTCCGGCCCTTGGCTGGTAAACTCTAC